TAAACAAAATTTCATAATCTTGATTGGCTGATCTACATAGGAAAAGTCACGTGGGTACAAGGCTTTAGCGGACCCCTCAAAAAGGTAACTTAGGTTGGCGATCCCTGCATATTGTAACACGAATTTCAGATATCACATGAAATAGGTTTTTGATAAATTACAGAAACATCTAACGCTAGCTTTGATCAAAGAAAAAAAAAAATGGAGAAAAGTTATGATTCATATTATAACCCACCTCCACCTCCACAGTATAATTCACAACAAGCCAATTTTCCTATTACACAACCTTGTGTATCTTATTTTACTCCAACCCAGTTGCAAGCGGAAAATGCTGAAGTCCTGCGGTTGAATCAGGGCACTTTAAACTTTAACAACCATTCGTTCATACCTCAAAATGAACCTTTAGCTACTACAAATGATCCTTCTGCTTCGACCCATTTTACTGATTTACGACAAAATGTTAGCAGTTCCTATGGTTCTTCGTCTATTCCTTTGAATGCGATGCTTTGCAATGACTTTTATGGATCTTTGTCTAATTCACCTTCATATATAACGAACGATGTTGTCCAGCAAAATATTAGTAATAATATTGTAAAATCAGATGATGAGACTCAGCAAAGTAATGCAAATGTGACAATATCAAAGAATGCTATGAAGGGAAGAAAGAAAAAAAAAAAGAAAGGACTACAATTGAATGTGAACGAACAAAGTAATAATAAAGATTGCATTAAGAAGGGTAACAATAAAGATAAAGAGAAAGAGAAAAAGGGTAATAATAAGGTTAATAATACTGCTAAGAAAAAAAAAAAAAAAATTAAAAAATTAAAACAAGAAGCCCTTGAACGAGAAACTTGGAGGTCACCAAAGCAAACTGAAAAACCTTGGCTTATTCATGATCCTAACGCTAAATATACAAGTGCAACCCAACGGTAATATTTTTATTAACTATTTGATCTTGAAGGATATTTGATCATGTTCTGGTATCCTTTAATTTTACAGGCTACATTACGAAATTATCGAGTTGGTAAATTATCTTTTACCAACTGATATAGAACGTTTATTACGAGCATTCGTCATCAAAAGAATAGAGCTCGTCATCAAAGAACATTTTCAAAAGGCGGAAGTTATGGTATTTGGAAGTGTCAACACTGGACTGTATCTTCCGACAAGTGATATAGATATAGCCTGTTTTATTCACGCTGAGCCTAATAGTGCTACGTTTACGATTGTAAAACTCTTTGAAACCTTAAAGATTTGTGCTAGTAAACCTATACTGGTTTACTCAGCTAAAGTATGATTTTTTTTTTTTTAAAACAAAGGAGATATTCATATATGTGCAGTATATTTATTCATTTTTATTATATATATATATATATATTATTCATATGTATTAATTTAATTTTTTTAGGTTCCGGTCATAAAATTTCAGGAATATTATACAAAGTTCAATGTAGATATTTGTATTAATCAAATGAGTGGTTACTATTCTGCGGTCGCAATACGACAATATATGGAACGATGGCCATCGTTAGGTACTTTGGTCATCGCCGCAAAGTGCTTCTTAACCCATCACAAGCTTGATTGTCCTACATCAGGTGGAATGAGTGGTTACACACTTTTTTGTTTAATGTTGAATTTCCTCCAGGTAAAATTATGAAATTAGTGTATTTATTGCATTTTATTTATAAATTTTATTTATCTCTTTACGTTAAATTTCTTATGTTAAATTTTCTATGTTAAATTTATAATAGTTACATCCTGAGATTCAAACTGGGAGAATAATTCCTGAGGACGAAAATCTTGGGGTATTACTTATTGAGTTTTTCGAACTTTATGGCGTCGATTTTAACTATAAACAACTCGCTATCCGAGTTGAAAGAGATGATGAACTTGGTATGAACCTAGGATATTGTAAGAAAGTAAGTTGTTGAGAGTAAATTGCTTTAATTCTCAAAAGATTTTATTAATTGCTTTTTTTTTTTTTTTTTCAACTTGTAGGAAAATGAACCTTGGGCTACAAAATGTCCAGAGAGTTTGTGTATTCAGGATCCTGTACAAAAATGTAATCTGTAATTATTTCTTTCGCCTAAGTTATTGTATAATAATGACTAGTAGTATTTATCATTTTTCTTCCTATATAGCAAATGATATAGCTAAAGCTACAACAATAATGCCAAAAATACGAGAGCATTTTGAACGAGCATTTAATACTCTTGTCAATCGTGTTTGCACTCTTGAACGTGATTTGTCAAGAAATGGTGATATAATCGTGGGTTTACATAAATATTCCATTTTGTCATCCATTTTATTAATTCGACAAGAAATCGTTAAGCGTAGACGTAAAGTTCATAACGATTTTAGTCATGGTAAACAACTTGGACGTGCAGTCGCTCCATTCGGACCTGGTATCGCAGATTCTTTGCATCTTCCAAATTTAGAATATATTTGGCGAGAATTTCGTGAAGAAATTGAAGACATTAATATAAATATAAGTAAAAAACAGCCTGTTAATGTTGGAGTTTCCAATGATCAATTGAATTATCTCAAATCTTTGCAAGCCAAAGTGGATTTACAGATTAAAAGGACATTAATTAATAATCGATCCAATTCGGATATGGATTTATCAGATTCTGGTTCTCCTTCCATTAACATATATGGTCAATCAGTTGAATTTTCAAATAATGAAGGTAGCGGCAACGGTCCGAACAAAGGATGTGGAGTACAGTAAAATAATGGGTATGTAATTTCTCATCTTTTAATTCGTTGGGTCTGTAATACTTAATATATAATTGTAATTAATAGGTTAGAAGCTTCGTGCTCACCTTTTCCTACTTACATGCTGTAAATTTAATTACTGTATTAAATCTGTAATGATAATATCTCTTGTTTATATAATCGACAACCCGTTTTATTATCTCGACTTTCAGAAGAGATAAAGTCGGGTATACGAAGATTAGAATACATAAAATATTTAATTTATGGATTTTTCAACAGCTTACGAGACTGCAATTGGGTAAAATCAGGAAGGGGTATAGTGAGATAATAAAGTTAAATATTTTTGTAAATACATTATAAATGCAGAAATCGGGTATTCCCATTCTAATAAAGAATAAATTTTCTTTATTGTTGTAAATATAAATAATTCACATAATAAAACACTCCCATTTAGAGTTATAGATTTGCATTTTGAATCATAATTTTATTATTATTAAAATTTAATATTTATTTGAATATTTGACATTTATTTGAATACTTTTGTCCGAGAAAATAATAAATTAGAAGTTTAATTCGAAATATTCGAATTATTAAAATGCGAATAAAACAACGTACCATTCCGAAAATAAGCACCCCTGGCCCGCACTATGTCAATTTTGGCCTGTATTATGATGATCTTGGCCAGCATTACATGTACATGAAGGGTGCTTAATTTCGGATTGGTACTGTAATTTAAGGTTATTACACTAAATAATGTCAGCGAACGTTTATCACACATTAATGTTATGTCTAAATTTTATTCTTTCATTGAAAGCTTGCTATAATATGCTTCGGCTTTGGAAATTGGAGTCGATAAATTCATACATACGTAAAGAACGTAAAGAATTAGCTAATGAATACATTAAGTACTCTCTAAATTTCGATAACGTTAATACGGTCTAATAGTTTTAGAACCGATTTTCACCCCGATATTTCTAAACAATATACAGTACTATATTTATTATATAGAAAACTAATACGTAATGAATAACTTTAAAATCCGGTTGTGGTGCATTATTTAATAAAATTTTTTATTTTTTATCAATCAAATTATATATAACCAAATTAACATAAACCTAAATTTTAAATTTCGCTCTTAAAGTTGTCACTTTTGTGTATATAAAAACAAATATGTATTAATTTTGAAAATAAACAAATTTAAAATCTTAATATACTTTGCGTAGATCTAAATACGCACTTGTACGTATCATAAATTCACAAAAAAAAAAAGCAACGTATTCGGATATTTATTTTTTTTTTTTTTTTTTTTTATGTTTTCACCTTTCCCCTACCCAACCCAACCCGCTGTTAATTCTAAAAAGTGGGCGTCACCTAGAGGTAGTGCAATACTAGGGACACCCGTGGGAGGGAATGTAGCAAGCCAGGGATTCCGCCCCCCAAAGTCAAAAATTAGTTTAATATCGAAGATCCACAGTGTGGATCATTTCAGATATTAAGCTGAAAAGAACAGATACTACACTTGATCTTAGCCAAAAGGCTTGAGAGGATAGGGAACAACAAATGTTTTTGCAGTGCTTTTTATATAAAAATTCAAAAAATTGGAAATTATGGGATTTACGTATTTGATAACGTGATTAACGGAAGATCCCGGACAAATATATCATAATTTTCACATATAGTTTTATACAAAATTAAATGAATATTCGGGTCGTAATTGGGCCGGCATTAAACAGTACAGTGGTACCAGCTAGGGTTGTAATAACTTACCTGACAATGTAACTTACATTGTAACTTACATCGTAAGTTACATGACCCTATGTAAGT